CACACACACACACACACACACACACACACACACATCCAGCGTGAGTTTAAACCACCGGTACAAGACTCGAACCGCGGCCAGCGACATAGCCATTACACCAACTGCTGATCATACAAATGGTTCATTTTGTTAATTTTGTTATCTATTTGGAGATAGGAGTAGCATTTAGAATTACATTTCAATTTTCTCTAAAGAATGAGGCCCAGTATTAATATTGGGGCCAGCACAGAGTGTGGAGGGGTATGCAGCTGAATCCTATGTGGCCGACTCCACAGTTTGAGTCCCTGACCCGGTGGCTTGATAAATATGCCAGGTGTATGAGAAGAGAATGGAGGAGAAGGGATTGCGGTGTGACCCTCCCCCCAGGGGTGATTTCTCACTTTCCCTCTCTGTCCCCGGCAAGCGCACACACCCGATGGAAACATCTAAAGAAAGGATAATGTCATTCACCATCTTTTGAACAGATGTTTGTCTAAGCTCTCTAAGCAAACAAAAGTTTGTATGTTATGCTGGTTCTTTCTTTCTTTCTTTCTTCCTTTCTGTCTTTCTTTTACATACTTTCACTGAACAACACCACAGCATACAAAATGTGATTTTCCAACCAGAATAATGTAATCACACTTTTTATCATCAATGAATAATTTTCCATTTCTTGTTTCTTGTGTGTGTGTGTGTGTGTGTGTGTGTGTGTGTGTGTGTGTATTTTCTCCCTACTTCTCACCCTCTGCCATTTCCCATCCTCCTCCCACCCTGTCTCTGGTATCTGCAGTTGCTTTCCATTCCTTTATTCTTTCCCACATCGTATTGTTTCACAAAATACCTTAATTAATCTAAACACTTTCAATAGTAAGTTCAGCTGGTATATACGTATCTGTGAACAAAAGTTGACTTTAGGCGTGAAACTCTGTGGGTATAATGAATATACTATAGAATCGCAAATAGCTGAGGCCATATAGCTTACTGTGGTTACCAAATAAGTATTTTTTAAATGGGTTTTTTAATTTTGAGAAAGGTAGTTTTAGCTTTAATAAATCAAAATCAAAAAATGTGAAGAAAACTTTGCTTCATACTTAAAGCCAGGAAACAGGTTGGGATTCTGTTCCAATAGTAGGTACATGGACCTGTCCACAACTCGAGAGAAGACGAAACTCTTTAACACTGGAAGACAAAGCATAGAAGGTCAGTAATGCTTTAGTCAAAAGTCATACAATTCTATTTCACCAGTTCAAGCTCATGTACTTCATCTTCTGTTACAGTCTGATCTTTCCGTTTAAATCCTGGAAGATAAAGTTCAACTCTGGACTCGTTCCTACCATTAAGCTGGCCATTTTCTTAGTTGATTTAGAACCGTTATTTCTGTTGTGTCTGACTTTAGTTTTCCTGGGATAGCACTCCCTTCAGAACTTCTTGGAGAGCTGGTCTGGTGTTGGTAAATTCAGGTTTTGTTCATCTGAGAATGTTCTTATCTTTTCTTCCCGTATGAAGGATAATCTTGCCAGATATAATATTCCTGGTTGAAATTGTTTTTCACTTGGGCGTGGTGGCATCCACCCTATGAAATTGTTTTTCACTCAATACTTTGAATTTAATTTCCCATTCTTTCCTCACTGACACTGTTTCCAATGAGAGGTCCGCTGTTAGCCTGATGGGATATCCTTTGTAGGTAACTTGACGTTCCTCTTTTGCCTGAGTATCTTGTCTTTGTCTGTGGTTTTGGTCAATCTCACTATAATGTATCTTGGAGAAGATCTTCTTGGGTTGATCCTACTTGGGGTCCTTTGTATTTCTTGGGTCTGGACCTTTGAATGCCTCTCTAGGTTTGGGAATTTTTCTCCCAGGATTTCATGGAATAGATCATCAATGCCCTTATTAATCTCTTCACCTTCTGGGATACCAATTATCCAGATGTTTGGATGTTTAATAGTATCTAGTATTTTTTTATATTATTCTCATTTTGGGGGGCTATTTTCTCAGTCTTTCTGGTGGATTTTACTAGTCCAGCAATTCTGTCTTCTACATCTGAGATTTGATTTTCTGTATGATCTAGCCTGCTTTTAATGCTTTCAAAGGAGGTTTTGACTTCCTGTATTATAGCCTTCATCTCCAACAGTTCCATTTGACTCTTTTTTTATGGTGTATATTTTCTCTTTCATCTCTCGCAAGAACTTCCTCACCTCCTGGGACTCAGCGGAGTTTTTCTTCTGGTGTCCACTGTCCCTCTTCTCTTCCATCTGTGTTAGTTTTGTCACTATGAACACTCTAAATTCTTTATCAGACATTTCCATGAGTTCCATTGTACTGTCTG